CAAAGTGATCCACGGGGACGGCAAAGCAATACACTCTTAGCGTGTCGCTGTGTCTGCAGTTCATGTAGGCAGAGGTTCACTTTAAAAGGCACTCCCCAGGCGTTGCCGATGCCGTAGCCATAGAAGCAGGAGACAAAGGCATTTACCCGGAATTTGGGGGCAAGGTCTGTACCCCGCAGTGCTCCAGGGGTGCTGCTGGGAGCTCTGCGGTGCCCTGCTGTGACGTGAGGCTGGCTGAGGTGTGTCTGCACAGCTGGCTACGATTCTGTAAATCAAGGGTAAAAATATCCATTTTTTGCCCTGTGTTTCTTGGAGATGTCATCTAGGTGGGCGTCTCTTGGGAAGCCGCTGGTGCTGCCGTTCAGATATCTATAACTCTGAATTCCCTTGGCTATTTCTTTCCTGCCCTTGGGTACTTACTCCCTTTGTACCTCCATAGCCTAACTCTTTTTCTTTTTTTTTTTTTTTGAATATTTAGTGTGGTTTCAGTATATCAAAGCCTCTCCTGTCAGAAAACTTCTCCTTTGTGGCGTTTAAACCATGGAGGGCATACCTGAAGCCACTTTTGGTTCTGCTCCCTTCCATGTCCATCCGTGGCACATGGGTAGTTCGTCAGTCCTTGCCTGGCGTCTGCCTGCACCGCTTGTGACTGGTCACCAGTTTCATTTGACGCTGGATCTATAGCAGCCTCAGAGCCAGGACGGGCACATCGGCCCTGGGTGAGGGCACCGGGTTTGTCACTCCCAGGAAACAGTGGCTAATTGTGTAGATGTTTTCCTTTCCTCTAGGAAACGGCTCTGTCTTGTCTGTGCTGTCTCACTGCTCTGTTTTCTACTGCTTCTTATTTTTTACAAAAAAACCTGCTCCTTCCTCCCAAACTGATTGCCTGACCCGGCCCCGACTCCAGTCGCTTAAACGCGTGCCAATGATGATACGAGGAGGTTATGGAAAATACCTCGTTGCGTGGTGGAAAGCAGCAGTGCAGGACAAAACCCAGGTGTGAATAACACAGGTGTGAGCTCCCTGTGTTCCACCCGAGGGGGTGGAGTGGCCGGTTGGGGACGGGTATCGTTGCTACTTATGGTCCTGTGAAAACGAAGGACCAACACAGCGGTGGGGCCGGTGGGGTGTTTCTGAAGACCAGTCTTTCTCAAGTACCACGTGTTCTAGGGGAACCTGAGTGGCGTGGACCACTTCTTTGCAGCAGCTGGTGCTGATGTACTCCTGCTTCCCCTCACGTGGTTCCAGCCCAAATTACTCCATGTGCAGGCTAAAGGGAGCCGGTGGAGACTGGTCGTTCTTTCTCCTTCCGTATCACTTGTCAGGGGTCCTACCCTTCTCCCAGGGGTTGGGCAAGGGTTGGGTGAACAAGTGAGCCAAAGTCGAGCCAAGGGTCAGTGCCCTGGTTATGATATAGCTATCTTCAGTACTTTGCGCGTCGTTTCCCCATCTGCAGGTGGAGCACCAAGGCTTGTCCGACACGGAGGTGGCGTGACTACGTGGTTCAGGTCTGTAAAGTGCATGGGGATCTTTGGATGCAGATACCTCATTGTCCATCGCTAAAGAGAAGTGCTTTTGGTGGTGTTCTTTCCCTTGGGCAGGGTATTGGAGCGCTCTGCGGAGCACAGACACTGCGGTGCAGCCAACTTGACACCGGTGGCTGTACACAGCAGCTGAACTAACCCTAAAATTATTTAATGATTAACAGAAACCTTTTATTTATTTTCCAGTGTCTGTTATTCTGTATTTGTGTGCAATTCATGTCCTGATTTGTCTTAAGTGTGGGGAAAACAGTTGCTACTTGAGTATTTGTTTTAATGTTGCATGAAAGTATTAGTTCTTTATGTTTAATAATATTTAATGCTTAATTTTCAATCTGAAAGTGTAAAAGATTTCAAAGTGCTTGTTGGCTGATACAATACAACACACAAAGTGTATTCAATGTGCAGACTCAACAGTGAGATGGAACCACCACTAATAGAGTAAAAAAACCAGCTGAGCTGAATAACAGCCAATTTCAGTACCAAGTAGAAGATTATCTCTGTGAATAAGTAACCTTGCTATATTTTTATGGGGTGGGGTCCTGCTTTTTCACAAAGTGCCTGTGGCCTTTATTGACTCTGTCCTCACTTTTTGATTGTTTGTGAAGGGAGAATGTTTTGAATCGTAACAGATCTGAGAGCAAGAGTGAAGTGTTTCCAGTCACTGACGCCTGGGCTTTGCTTTGGTACACAACCCTGCAGGGTTAGATAGAGTGTCTGTAGATCTGCTGCTGGTTTTTGTTTTGGTTTTTTTTGTTTTGTTTTTTTTTAATCTGTTGTTTTATCATGTCTTATGGGCTCTGAGTGGCTGATCCTTGCAAGAGTTATAAATATTTTCTCTGAAATAGCTCATCTGAAGTCAGTTTAGTAGGAAATAATTGCTGAGCAGGTGAAGTTGTATCTGTCATTATTGTCACTTGAAATGTTTCGCACATCTTGCCGGTAAAAAAAGCCCTTGAGGGTACCTGCCCTAGCACCTAACGAAGATGAGTGAGACAAGCAAAGGATGGGAGTAGATGGGAAGGGACAGGAGAGTTGGACAACGCTGGCTCTGGTCAAGGGAAATACGCTGAAATCAGCAGGTGATACCCAGCTCTGGGCACCAGTGACCTGTAACACTTCCCCTTGGAACTGAGAAAGGAGATAACGGAGGCACTTGGATGCAGAGGAGGGGAAAACTTAGAAGTTAAAAACGTCCCTTTTTATTGCTCACCTCCTACAAGAATTACGGTGCAATTATTATTGCAGATTATTAAGAATTGCACAAGCCCGTGGAGCGGGGCTGCCATCTCCTGTTAGCAGAAGAAAGGGGTGGAGGTGGCGGAGGAATGGTATGTTCCTCCTGGAACAAGAATTACGGTGCAATTATTATTGCAGATGATTAAGAATTGCACAAGCCCACGGAGCGGGGCTGCCATCTCCTGTTAGCTGCCCGCACAGCAGAAGAAAGGGGTGGAGGTGGCAGAGGAATGGTATGTTCCCCCTGGGCACGATTGTGAAGGCTTCTAGGAAGTTTCTGGGCTTGGTGGCGCGTGACGCACGTTCGGCAGATCCAAACGTCTCCGCTTGCGCCAGGCTTTGCTACGGAGTAAACAAGAGCCTTCCAGGAAATGTTCTAAGCTTGGTGGAGAAGTCGGGCTGGAGCTGGACTTCAGAGAGCTGATGAAATAGGTCACGCCAGTAGATGTTCCACAAGCAGTTATTATTTCAAGTGTGTTGTCTAGCAGGAGAGACATAGCCATATATGTCACTTTTTATTTATTCCATTCCAGTTTATCACTCATTAGGGATACAATTAGGTAATGATGAGACAATTCAGGAATAAGTTTGTGACCTGAGAAATCGGAGGCCCTCATTAAATTCCCTTGGATAAAAATTCCTGTGACTGACCAAGGTCTGGGATATCATGGAAGGTTCAGTTCTGCTTTAAGCTATCCCTGAAGCTATCTTACCAGCCTTCTCTCAAATTCTCCCTGGCTGTAATTGCAACAGCAGTGAGGTTCCTAAACGTGTTTGGGGACCTGGTCTTGTTCTCCTTATCTACAAAATAACCGTATTCTTTGGTGTTTCACGGGAGCGTGGTGAAGATCAGCATATTAGGGACCGCGAGGATTTGGGTACGGCAGTAGGAAGGGCCACGCAGGCACCTCGGAATGATGTGATATCCATGACCTGGGAATTCATATCAGCGTTAACATATCCATGTAATTCATTCACGGCTGCTTATCATTTGACATTTGCTGTCCTTCTGCTTTAATGTTTTCAGTTGCTGGATCTGGGGCAGGGACAATACTGATGTAATTCAAGGGTCACCTTCTCATGAGAACCTAGTCCAAGAAAACATTTTACAGATGGCCCATACCTATGTTCATCCAAACAGTTCCATTAATATCTCTCAATGATTCAACGTATTTGTATCGATCAGGAAAGACTCACAAATTGTTTCCATCTGAGAAATTACTTAAATATTTCAAACGATCTTACTTAGTTTCACCTGCTTTTGACAGCAACATTAAGAATAATTAATGAATGGTACAGTGTGAACGTAACTAAAATATGATTTAGCTTTATTTCAGGGGTGGTGTTCCCGCTCCTCCCCTTGTTCCATCTGGGTTCGCGCACATATTTTTAAAACTCAAATATAAGAGCTTGTGGCTACTATGTCAGAATTGCTGTGTCTCATATTCAGAACCAGAACTCGTCGTGTTTCTTTCTGTGTATCCTGGAGGGTGTTCAGGGACCATACTGCACATACTGCCAATATATGCTGTGTTTTGTTTACCTGCAGATTCTGTTACTCATTTGGTTTTTTTTTGTTTGATTTTGTTTTGATTTTGGTTTTTTGGTTTGGTTTGGTTTGGTTTGGTTTGGTTTTATTTGGGTTTTTTTTTTTGTTTGTTTTGAGTTTGGGTTTTTTTTGTTTGTTTTATTTTGGTTTGGGTTTGGGGTTTTTTTTGTTGTTGTTTGTTTGTTTGTTTGTTTTAAATTTACTATAAATGGTTGGCACTTTCCAGAAGTTTGGTGTTATTATTTGGTATTAAGACCTTCTCACATGTCTTTTTTTTTCCTGTTGTGAAAACCTCTCTGCCATATCTGGTAAACTCAGGCTGGAGGCAAGCAGAACGAGACGGCATCCGCGATCTCCCTGCAGGTCCCTGTCCTGCAAAGTGGCTCAGCACCTCCATCCTGCTGCCTGCTTATTCCTGCAAACTGCCATACGAGTGATGTGCGGATGTGATAACTGGACACGGAGAATGCCAGTGGCCAGTTATCTCAAGGAGGTGTCAGAAGGAGCCATTAAAACATGCTGGATCTGAAAATATTTGGAATTTTAGTCCCTTTTTTTCCCCTTTCTCATTAGGCTAAGGAAGTTAATCTGATACTCCTAACCCTTTCCAGAAGAATTAGGCTCTGCACCTAACTCTTCTGTATTGTTTTGCGATTCAGTACAAACAGGCACTAGTGTCCCGGCAGGGCTGGCCGGGCGTCCTTGCCCTCGGCAGGTCCCTGCGGCTTTTCCTCCGGCACTGGATCCAGGTCTGGCACCTTCTGCCCTACTTTGGCGACCGTGAATCTGCTCATGTGCAGAGCTTCTTCGTAGACCGGAGGAGTGTCCGACGCCGAGAGGGGCGGTGGTCCCTGCGCGGCGTGGTGGGAGCGGGCCACTGCTAGTATCCTCCTGGCCGCCGGCCCAAACACGGAATGGAGAGCTGCAAGGGAGCAGGGGAAAAACGTTTAGCCTCGTCCTGGAGATGTTCAAGGCCAGGCTGGATGGGGCTTTGGGCATCCTGGTGTAGTGGAGGGTGTCCCTGCCCATGGCAGGGGGGTTGGCACTGGATGGTCTTTGAGGTCCCTTCCAACCCAAACCGTTCTGTGATTCTATGATTAGAGGAGGACGAGTCCATCGGCAGCGCGAGGGCTTTTCTCTCCCCACAGCCGGAATGTTTTCCTTTTCCTGCTCCTTCGTCCTTCCCTAAATGGGAGGGTGGGGTGTGTGAAACCCCATGAGCACCCTCCCACGATTACTCCCTCCTCAAAGGCCACTTTGGCCGTAGCTGCCCCTATTCCACCCAAACGTGCCGCACAGTTGACGCCATCTGGTCGCGCTTGCCGCGTGATGCCTGGTGAGCACCGTGGTTTGTACCAGGTGTGGTGCTGCCTTCCCCATCCCCTGCCACGAACCCTCCTCTGCCCACCCCAGGGTGCTGCGATCTGGGGTCTGCGCAGGGTGTGCCGGGGCCACCAGCCTCCGCCAGAGCCCACTCACAGGTGATGGTGCTCTGCAGGGTGCTGTCCTGGTCAAAGGCAATGACGGTGACCTCGTAGGGCCGAGGACCTGACTCCTCCCCGGTCCGATGGCAGTGAAAGCAGCATCTCACGCAGACGGAGACCAGGCCACACAGGAGGAGCAGCCCACCGACCACCACCGCCAGCCTGGAAAGGGAGAGCACACGGAATCAGGACAGAAAGACTTTGTTTGCAGGGGCCCTTTTAAGGTCTCTCCCTGCTTGAAGTAGGGCTGACCTCACAGCTAGATACGGTCATTTGGAGCCTTGTCCAGCAGAGTTTGGACAGCCTCCAGGGATGGAGATCCCACGTCCCCTCTGGGCACCGGCTCCAGTGCTACACCACCCTTGGCGGGAGCATTTTTTCCTTCTGTCTAATCAGAATTTCCCTGGATGCAGCTCGGCCAGTCATCTCAGGTCCTTTTGCTGGGCACCTCTGAGAAGGCTCTGGCTCTGTCATCTCTCCAGACCCACCTTTGGTAGCGGCAAACTGCCATCAGGCTGCCCCTTCAGCCCCCTCCAGGCTGAACAGACCAGGTCCCTTCAGCCCTTCTTCACACATCACGTCCTCTGGACCCCTGACTATTTTATTTACTCTCCAGTGGACTTACTCTGGTTTGTCAACATGTCTTTTGTCCTGAGGGACCAAAACTGGATGAGGTATTCCAAATGTGTCCTCAGATGTGACAGGTGGAGATGAAAAATCTCAATCTGCTGGCTACACTAGTATTGATGGAGCCTTGTAGAGGTCCGATGTCTGCCATCCTTTTTAATCTCATCCAGGTGAGGATTGCTAAGGAATCAGACCCAAATTACTTAAAAAGTGGGCCTTTTAAAAGACATGTTGTGCCTTGAATGCTTTATTAATATCGTGCATCTGACTAAATTAATACATGGAATAAAAAAGGAGGCCTGCGATGGCAGGTCAACCTTGGTCCAAGATGATGCGATAGCTGGGGGGTTGTTGTTGCCGTGCTACTGTAGAGCATTAGGGGATGCCAAGGGAAAGCAAGGCTGGCATCACGCCTGAGCAGCTCACATTTTACCCCACTCTTTGCTACTGAAATTGTCCAGAGATGTGGGTATTTAAAGTAAAGAGATGCCATCTTACCAGATGTACCACAAACGGTCCCATTCTGTGCCTGTACAGCTGGGAAGAGGGTACAAGAAATAGTTAGCCACAGAATACCAAATAAATGGGAAGATCTCTACTGTATCCTCTCCCAGCTCCCCTCACACTCCTCACGCACGGTCCAGCTCCTAAATGGAGCGATGATGAGAAACTCACTGCGCTTTGTGGAGGAGATGTTGTCTGACCTCACCAGCCTCCCTGTTGGCTGAGTTTCCCTTCTGCTCGGCTTTCTGTCTTTAGTGTTTCCCTGACATTTGTGCCTGCCCAAATCCATTTGTAAACCGTAGCGATCTGCGTTCACATTTGTTTTGTCTTAATTTCTGTTATTCTTGCAAATGACATCACTAGAAGAGTAATATTCACCAAAGCAGCATACGTCAGACCATTTTTTTCAAGGAAAGGTCAATTCCAAATTCATAATCTCAGTCAATCAAAACGATCCCCGAAAGCTCTTAATCATTACAGTTATCCAAACAGGTGGCAGGCTGAGTGCCACGTGATCAGCGTGTTGAATAGATCGTAATTAATACGCTTCCCATTCAAGGTGACGAAAATTTCAAGTGAGTTTTCAATAGTTGCAGTTAAAGTAAGCTTTTCTGAAAAATGTTGGCCACCGTGCCACGACACAGGTATCCACTACTGCTTTTGTCCTCCATTGTCTTCCTAAAGGAGTGCGAGATCGGCAAATACTCACAGCTCGGTGCTGAGACAGCCTTCCTCACCGCTCGCCTGGGGGAACTGGAAGCAGAAAACCAGACAAGAGTGGGGTGGATTAAATCTTTGTCACATGCAACTTTTGTGTCTGTCACCTGGGCTCTTACCACTCTGAATCTCCTACGGTAAGGACTTACTGTTGTCTGTCTTCCATGGTTTCCATCACGTATTCTACTGTAGATTTGAAGCTATTATGATACCAACCGCATTGTATCATATCTCAGCTTCCCGTAGTCATTAAAATCCTACTGAGCACTGTCCCCACCACAGACCTGGACTTAACCTTCAGCCTCACCATGAGTTTCCCTTTCCCCACCGTAAGCTACGTCACGCTACAGATGTAGATCCTGCTGCCTGTCCAGCATTAAGAGCCTTTTGACGTCCTGCTTCGTATTGTACCTGCGCTGACTTAAATCCTGCTCTGTCTCTCCAGCACTCCTACCCATCTCATTCCTTTGCCTGGGGTGCCCTGACCTCTGTGTTACCATCCCTGGAACAGCAGCAAATATTCTTCTCTTCTGTGTGTCTACCTTTTATACACCAGTTCTTTCTGATATCAAGGAAATTCTTGTGACTGGCAGTTGCTAATGCCCCTCCGTCTTTCCAAGGTAACTCCACAACTGAGCAGAAAACCCCATAAATAAGAACCTGAGGTGTGAGTGACTTACCCATAAGAAACACCCTAAAAGAAAGCAGATCATGACTGGGGTGTGCATCCCTGTACGGTGCTTCTGTGGCCTCTTGCTGCCTCGAGGTGCTTGATGTCTTCTTGTCCTCTCTAGTTTAAGTTCATCCTCACCAGTCCGCTGACCAGTAGAAGGAGCAAATTCCTTGTTGCGCGTTGAATCCAGTCTCTTCTTCCTGCTCTACCTCCTTCTGTCCACCTCTGG